AATAGTATTTCTTAAACACTGCACTAAGGAGAGACAACTTCCACTGTGAGATGTTGAGCCATGATAATTACCTAAAGAACTACTGATGAAGCAGATTTTTTGACTTGTTTCACAAAGGCATGATAGGAGTTTACCTGGCACTGACACTAAATTGCTGCATGAATTTAGAGAGTTTGCTTCCTCTCCTGGGGCCTCAGCTTTCATATTAACATACTGCAATTGAACAACATGATCACAAAACTCCCATCCAACTAAAATACCCTATGATTTGTTGGTTTTTGAGTAAATTGGAAGAATGAATGCCTGCAGTTTTTCTTCTGTATCTTGGAAGGGAAAGTAATTTTTTGGACAACAGATCCAGTATATCAATATTGGAATGTATTATTTTTATATCTTTAAACTTTGTTTCTTCTAGCCTTTCTGTTGGAACTGCCATCTTCCAGTAAATCACCAAAATGATCAACACAAAGGGAAAGAGAGCACCTGCTTATGCCTTTTAGAAAACATGGACTGTTCCTTTGGCCACACATATGCAAATCTACAAGGTGATACTGTAGATCTCAAGGAGATCCGCACTTTTTAAAAAGGAATGCCCTGCAACTATTACCATGACAACATTGAAAGCGGATAATGTTACCCAACATGCAGTTGGCACTGTTGTAAACAAACAAGGGCACAATTCTTCCCAAGAGAATTGATGTTCATATTGAGCATATTAATCATTCTAAGGACCAAGATAACATCCTGAAAGGTGTGAAAGGAAATGATCAGCTAAAAAAGGGAAGGGTGTGATCCTGTACGGGATTGTTTCTCTTCTAGTTTGTTTGCATATAGGAATGCAACAGGTTTTTGTATATTGATTTTGTATCCTGCCATTGTACCACTTTATTATTTACTATTGTTTAGTGGAAAGTTTAGGGTTTTCTATGTATATTATAAAAAAAAATGCCATTTATCTTGAACTCCTCTCCGCCTACACTCCTGCAGCTGAATGTGGCTGGTGAGAAACACCTAACCATGCCCAACAGATTTCACTTTACATTCCTAACTCCTATCCTCAAATGAACATTTCATGTTACCGGGGTGAATTCTCACATTTCTATCTCCTAATTTACTGTCCATCTTCCTGCTTCACTAAGAGAAACCAACAGAAGGAGACACCCCCGAGCCCCCAATTTCACCACCTAGGGAACGACCTGCATCTATCTGGGCCATGCACTCTCTTCTGTCCCATGACTATAGTTGAACTCTCTACTATGGTAAATTCCATCTGCCTCATGTACTTAGGGAAATACTTGAATTATCTATTCTTCTTGTTATTAAATAGTTCCCTTCAGCATATGAAACATGCTGTAAAATCTATCAGGATTCTAAAACCGTCCCTGAACCCTATATCTGCCTGCAGCTCGTCCTACATTGCTCTCGTCCCAGCCCCTTATAGTTAAACTCCTTGAAATCGTAAGTTACACTTGCTGTCTCCTATTTTATCATCCTCTTAACTCTCCCGAAGCTACTCTGGTCAGCTTGTCACTCCAAGTCGCTGCTGTCATGCAGACCAATAGTACATCTCTCTCTCTTTCTCTCTCTCTCTCTCTCTCTCTCTCTCTCTCTCTCCTCGTAAGTCTCAATATGAAAGTTTTCAAACTTGTAGACAAGCTCAAAGAATAATGCAAAATATGCACAAAACTCACACTGAACACATCCCAATATTTGCAATTATTGTGTTGGATACTTAGTTATTAGAGAGATATATAGTTGAAAGCTACTTTGCTACCCTCCCTAGCCCTTTCCTTTGACATCTCTATGCAGTTGTGACCAGTCTTCAGAAGTATCTACCCTCTTATTCATGTTTCCTTATGCATATATTATATAGGTATTTACACATAAACAAAATGTAGGAACATATGTTCTATCTCCAAATTTGCGCAAATAATATCTTACTGAGCATTAGTATCCATATCAGATTTAGCAAAAATGATCAGTTAGTGAAATTTGCCTATGATCTTCCTTTCTTATAGTTTACTGGTTTGACTTTGCATGGCAATTGAATTGTCTTCATCAAATGGATCAGGTAGCTCTCCATAGCCTACTCTTTAAATACTTTGTACAGGATATTTTATCTATCCTTAGAAGGTTCATTAAAAATTACTAATTACAATAAAGTGAAAATCAAAATCAGCAGGCAATGATAAACCAGAGACACACTACAGGGGGGGAGAAGGGAGCAGGATCAAAACAAGGTGGTGGGAAATTTACGGGGACTATAACCAAGGTGAAAATACATACACTGTACAAAAATGAAAAATGATGTAAAAATACATAAAATTAAAAATTAAAAAAAAACACATTATTTTAAAAAAATAACCTGGGGCTTTTTTGTGGCTAAAGTTTTGAATACTAATTTTTTTTTAAAAGATTCATTTATTGATTTATACAAGCAGTGGGTACAGTCAGAAGTGCAGGAGGGTGAGAGGAGTCACCAGAGCCAGAGTGGGGAGCAGAACAGGCAGAAGGACCAAAGCACACTGCTGAGGGGAGCAACGGGCAAGACAGGAGAGGTCTGCGTGCCATGTGGGACTCTCACTGGTGACCGGGGATCGAACCAGTGCCGCAGAGGCCGCGGGCAGCCTCGCAGCCCAGCGCTCAACCGCTGCGCCACCGTGGAGGCCCTTGAATACTAAATTTTTAAGATAGTATAGGTTCCATGTGGTTATCTATATCTCCTTGAGTCAGTGTTGGTAATTCATCTTTTCTACAGAACAACCCTTTCTCTTCTGTCTTCTGCCTAGGTGTCTTATAGTTATAAAGCCAAACCTCCAACCATTCATGAGGACCATTTACCTGAGCTACTTTGTCTCATCTTCCCATTTTCCGCCTACATTCTCATCACGAAGAGCTACTTTTAGCACTGTGTGCACATTTGAACTAAAAGAATTTGCATTTGCATTATTATTAGAAATATTTATTTTTCATGATTACTTATTTTATAGGACATTACATTGAAAATAAAATAAATGTTTACTGGGCCCATCACTAGTTAATAGAAATGTTTCCCATCAGCCATAAGATGATTAGAGTTTCTGGTTTAATCGTGAACGATATGTTTACTTAAATTTCTGGTATAGAGAGAAACATGTGTATATGGGGAAGGGAATAGTATTTAGAAAATTAAAAGAAAATGATGTACATGTACATATGATCAATAAACAAAACAAATTTAAGCATTACTATCAATTTGTATAACAGATTAAAATATAACCAAGTTCTCACTATGGAACTGGGAAAAATAAATACATTATGGAAACCTAGTTAAACTGTCAAAATTATTTATTGCAATGTACATTCATACAATCCTTTCAGAAGGCAATTTATATTTACTAAAACATTTGCTTCAGAAATGTACCTTCCAGAATATATTACAAGAGAATAATTGGACTGAGAGAATAAACAGCATTATGCTGTTTATGCTGAAGAAAGAGTAAATGTACATGAAGTCTTAAATGACAGTCCCTTCAGAATGACATAGAACCATGGAATTATTCATTACTAATGTTTTACAAAATAACAGGAATGTGTTCATGAAATCATGTTATGAACATATTTACTCATCTTTTTACAGTCTTCCAAGTATGTAAAAAAATGCATATAGCACATGATTGAAATGTTTAAATCCAAGAAATAAAAATTACATTGGAGAGGTGGGATTAAAACTACTTGGAGGGGGGATTTCCAGTTTATTTAATATTAAGGAATGCCTTAATTAAGTTTAGATTATTAGCCAACCAAGAAGTTAGATTTTAATTCTGTTTTCCTTGAGCCTCTAAGAGGTTTTTCTTCAGGTAAAACCTCAGTTACTATTTTTAAATAGTTCTAAACTTACAGGAAAGTCTATTTCTTTTTTTATTTATATATATTTTACATCATTATTCATATTTAAACAATGTTTGCTTTTCCCCCCCCTCAGGTGTAGTTCCCACAGAATTTCCTTCACAATTCACCCGAGAGGGAGAGGGATTAGAGGGGGAAGGGAGGGGAACAGGAAAGTCTATTTCTATACCCTTCTTGAGTTACGACAATCTGTCAGTCTACTCCTGAGCCAATAACATCTGGCCTTAATTACAGTAGTTTTGTAATAAATTTTAATATCTGGTCGGGCTGATATGCCCAATCACTCTCTTTCTCAGAATTTTCCCGGTTAATCGCTAGCATTTATTTTCCACATAAATTTTACTCTCACTTTGTCAAGTTCCCAAATTGTTTAAATCTCCAGTGCTACTGCAGGAAATTTATAGTTTAATTTGGAAAAATTGGCATTATCACCAGGTTGTGGCTCCCTATCCAGAAGGAAATATGCTTTGGTGTTTATTCATGTCAGTTTTTATGTCCCTAACCTGACTTTTATAACTTTCTTCGGCACCTATGCATTCCTTATTGAGTTTATGACTATGTGTTCCAGGTTTTTTCAGCTGTTGGAAATTGAAAGTTTCTCTAATTATATTTTTAAGTTGGTCGGTTATCTCTTATCTATGGAAAAACTTGATTTTTCTGTATTGCTTATGGAGCCCATCACTTCAGTAAACATTTTCGTTAGTTTTAGCAGTTTTTCAGTTTATTCTTAAGGTTTGCTAAAAGAGAAATCCTATCATCTGCAAGTGATATTCTGTTTGATTTTTGTATTCCTAATATTTATTTTTCATACATCAGTTTTATTCAGTCCTTGATCCCTGATCTCAGTAAAATCTTGTTGATCACTAAAGTCATTGAATTATAGAACACATGTCATTAGTGACATCACCACAGAGTGGACATTAATTAAATAGGCTATATCGAGTCAGAGTAGGCCAGACAAGCCCACATTTATGACCAGGGATTGTGAAACCTTAAACCACATACAGACTCTAAAATGAATCTCACTGTGGTTGCGGGACAGATAAAAAGTACACTGAACATATCAAGTTACAAATTACGTGTTTTCATTTTCAATATGGTAAATTACTTACCTGGCAGAGGGGATACTGTGATCATGAGGGTGATTGTCCCGGGGTGAGGCTTATGCACGGCTGGCCCTTGCTATTTCCTTAAATGTGGGAAACTCTACTACGTAATTGTGGCACTGGGACCTGCGTTCATGCTCGCCCCTGAAAAAAAATCAAATAACCCAATTGAAAAATGGAGAAAGGACTTGACTAGGCATTTCTCCAAACATGACATACAAATGGTCAACAAGCACATGAAAATATGCTTAACGTCACTAAACGTGAGGCAAATAGAAATCAACCCACAATGAGATACTACGTCACATGTCAGGTAGGATGAGCTCTATGATAAAGAAAGAAAAGGGCAGAGCTGAGCTGGGCCAATGGAAGCTGGAAAGTTAGAGCCACAAAGGTCCAGATCAAGAACCTCACGCCAATGAGCCTCCCTGGTGGAGCAGGGGTTAACGTCTCAGTGCTATCAAGCTGTCGGCAGCCACTGCAGCACGAGTTCGATCCCCGGCCAGGGAGCTACCCACATGGCGCAGCAGACCTCTCCTGGCTCCCCACTGCTCCCCTCAGCAGTGTATTTCAGTCGATCTGCCTGTTCTGCTCCCCACTCTGTCTCTGGTGAATCCTCTCACACACACCCCACACTGCACCTCAGGCCTAGACCCTAGTTCTTCTATGCATAAATAATACAATAAATCTTAAAAAACACACACACACACACCCTGCAGTTCTAACTTTAAAAAAAAAAAAAAAACCTCCCACCACAGCTGCACACGGAGGAGATGAAAGGGACAGTGGGTGAGGATGTGATCTCCTCTATGGAACTTCCTCATCCACAGGGTCCTCCTGTGAGTCCCTCCCTTTATCTTAAAGAGATAGGACAGCATAGGAAGATGTGTCATCACAGATAGATGCCCGATGCGACGCAATGGTTAGAGTTTTTCCTCCTGTCTGCAAAGGAATAGGCTCAGAAAGACGTAAGAGACTCTGATTAAATGAACAAAGAAATTCTACTTGCTAAGAACAAGTTTGACTCCGGTAACTGATCTTCATAAAGGGAAACTATTTGGAGGTCTGAAGCAGGTTTGTGGTCCTACCCTGCCCTTATGACATGATATGCAGTCCCTGTGAATGCTGGTGCACTTGTATAATGTCAAACTCCATTTTCTAGCAAGTATGTATTATAAGGGAATTATGTCTGCAAAAAGAAAAAAGAAAAGAATGAGTCTTGCTAAAGATAGATGTTAGAACAGGCTATGAAATGGTGCAGACTCTGTGGAAAACAGGATGGTAGCTCCTCCAAAATGAAAGAATTATCATGTGACCCAGCAGTCTCACTTCTGCTACGGAGCCAACAGAATTGAATTCAGGACCTCAGAGTCAGATTAGCACTCCTATGTCCATTGCAGTAATAACCACAATTGCCAAGATGCAGAAACACATAAATGTCCATCAACGGACCGATGGATGAAGGAAACATGGTATGTGACAACATCGTGATGGTGTTCCTCAGCCTGAAGAAAGAAATTTGTCACATTTGACAACATGGATGAAGCCAGAGAACATTATACGAAGTGAAATAAGCCAATCACAAAAGGACAAATACTGTATGAATCCACTTAGATGAGGTATCGAAAGTAGTCCAATTCATAGCAACAGTGTAGAATGGGGGTTGCCAAGAACTTGGAAGAGGGGGACTTGGGGAGTTGCTGTTCAATGGGCATAGAGATTCAATCATGCAAGATGAAAATTTCTCAAGATCTGTGGTACAATTCTGTGAATATAGTCAACAATTTTCTAAGTACCCTTAAAAATTATTTAAAGGGCAAATTTATTTGATGTGTTTTTACCACAATTAAAAAATGTGCCATGAAAGAAGCTGTTTTCATGGAAGATTTCCCCCACATCACTCAAGCACTCTGAATCTCTGGTGGCTCTATTTTTGCTCCCTTAACCCATGACCTGATAGACAAAATGGAGCCCGTAAGGAAGGGAGAGAGCCAACTGCACTGGCAAGAAGAGAATCAACAAGAGTTTTCAATATTATTTTCACTGTGATAGAGATAAAACTCTTCAAGGATCATTAAAGCCAGTGAACTACCTTCTGCAGAAATGATCTCCTCTTGGCTAAAGTGATGTCACAACCCAGATTTTTCTCTTACTACACCAACCCTTTATCTGCCCTTTGCTGATTACTTTCCCTTTCGGACTCACTATTGAAACACCAGCAGTAACATCAGTAACTGTTTGACTGGCACTCCTTTTAAACATCCGGAGCCATTCCTCCCCCTCCATCATCATTCTCTACCACCGAAATCCATTTGTTTTCTTCTAATTAATCGTTTGTTGTCTCTTTCTCACTGGGTTTTAAGTTTTATTGTGGACAGAATCTCCATATAGCCTGGTCAGCATTATGGCCTCAACACCCAGCATGGTGCCTGGGTCATAGTAAGTCTGAACTGAGTAGTTGTTGTTTAAAACAAATATTTCAGTACTTACAATATTACAACTGTGGGTGATACTTCATATACATTATCTTATGTAATCCTTATCAGTGCTATGTTTCTTCCAGTTTTACAAATGAATGGACTAAAATTAATATCATGCCCCTTCCGTACAGCTATACAATGTAATTTTGGAATTGGGATTTATTTCTGCCTGGTTGCAAAGTAGTTTGTTTAGAATTATCTAAAACACTTGAAGTCAGAAACCAGTATTTTGGTTTGGCATTTGTGGGCAAGATGTATAATCATTTGTAACCAAACAAACCAGGTCTTTTGCTCTCATTTAAAAGCCAAATTCTGAATTTTGATAGTTGTCTTTACCTGAAGGAGTTTTATTTGAGATGGCCAACAAGGGAGTCTGTGGGACAGCCCTCCACCCCCCCCCAAAAAAAAAAAACCAACAACCAGCTTCCCGAATGGCAGGAGCACTGGGTGTTTTTATATGGGGGGGCAAAGAATGTGAGGGGAGTCAGGGCTTCCCACTTCCAGGTCCCACAGGACTCACAGTGTTTCACTTTCCAGCAGGGCACTCACCGCAATCAGCAGATGTTTGTTTCTGATGCCACCATCAACTCAGACATTTTATTAGGATGGAAAACAATCCATTTTTCAAATTTCCAGGAATGCAGGTGGAGCCAGTTAATGGTTATTATGAGGAGGGCATGGGGGGCAATTCAGTGAGTTAACAGTTAATCCTAGCAAGGGAATAGAAACAGTGGTTAGAGTTTAATTCCACCTATTCCTAATTTTTAGTCTAGGGGTGTTTTCTGTTGCAAAATGGAGGGGATCGACTACACTTACACAATTTTCATTTTCTCAAGTGCTCTCTTATGAATCTGAGAACAATTATAAAGTCATCAAATCATGCAAACAATGACGTTCATGCAGGCGGTTTTATAGCTTCCAGTATTTCTCTGAATGCCACTATCCATAATCAAGGGACGGTGACCCCTCAGCTCTGCTCCCTGATGCGGTGCTGACATCGCGGATGGCTTCACCGGATGCTGAAGTTTCCGACAGACAGCAGGTCCTCGAGAGCCATTTTGCTCATTATCATTGAGTTATAAGTTGAGAAAAAAGAAATCCTGGCTGACACTGAATGAAAAGCCATTATTTGAGAACCTTGAGGCATATATTTCCTTATGCATTGTTTTGGCTTAAAGTGGCATTTTCCAAGAACCTATCACTGACGTTAGTTGAGGACTTAGCGTGTACCAGGCACGAGTGTCCGAATCAACTTCTCCCATGTCCTGTGATCATGTCTGTCTCAGTCACCAACTCAGAGGCATTTATAATTTATAAAAAATTATAAATGTTTTAATTTTATAAAAATTATAAATATTTCCCCCAAGTTCTTCTAGGAGAAGTTACTAACATGAACAGGATGACTATGCAATGCTTTCTCTGGGATGCTTTTTCCATGGAGGGAAATGGAACATTAGAAGGATAACTAAACATTTGATATTTCTGACCCTGTCAATTTCCCTCTTCTTTGGAAATTTGGGACTTCATTTTTAAACATCTAGAGAATCTCAGTTGTTTGTGTGCTTCTTTCAGATGCGAGTATTTCATCAGGATATCCAGGTCACAATTTGTTCAAAAAAGCAGAACACACTCACTAATATTAAGTACATGGGAAAAGTGCATATAGAGATTTTTGTAAATTGATCACTCTGACAGATGAATGGTAGCAAATTTGAAATACCTTTCTATAATGAACGAGTTTAGTGTGATCATAAAATGTAGGGGAACCAAACAAAGGCCCAGGAAAAAATAATTATAATAAATTAAAAAACAAAATTAACAGGCAACTATTAATCAGAGACACTGTAGGGGAGGAGAAGAGAGAGGGATCAAAGCAGGGGAGGGAATGTGTTCTTCTACAAGGGACTAAGGTGATGGCACACGGGTGAATCGGTGGTGGGAATTTTACAGGGATAACACCTGAGAAGGGAAAGCATGCATTGTATAAAAAGGAAGAAGAACATAAAATATATATATTAATAATAAATAAATGCACAGCCCCCAGCTATGTTTCTCATTCGGTCAGTACTGTTAACTGCTTCCCTCTCTCTGAGGCAGAAATCAGAAAGTATGATTAGTGTGGCTATTTTCTGCATTAGAACAGAGACAAAGAAACTTAGGCAAAGATAGGCAGGTGAAGGTACCAACTAAACTGATACGAAGAATAAGAATGGCATCACCAGCTCACTAAAACACGAAGGGTTAAAACTTGTTTTTTTTTTAAGATTTTTTTTTATTTATACAATAGCTGGGGTACAGGCCAGAGGTGCAGGAGGTTGAGAGGATTCACCAGAGACAGAGCAGGGAGCAGAACAGGCAGACAGACCGAAAGCACCGCTGAGGGGAGCAGCGGGGAGACAGGAGCGGTCTGCTGTACCATGTGGGTTGCTCCCTGGCCAGCTGGGAATCGAACCCATGCTCCAAAGGCTGCAGACAGCTTCACAGCACTGCGCTCAACCCGCTGCACCACTGGAGAGGCCCAAAACTTGGTTCTTTAAAATTTTATGTAACATCCATTTTTTTCCTTAGTATAATAGAAATATAGCTAAATAATGCAGGTTCGATATTCACATTTAACTCTGCTCCTATCCAGACACCACTAAAATTAGAATAAAGAATCAAAAAATATTCAACTATGCAAATGTGGAGGATATGGACGAGAAGATACCAATAGTTAAAAATTCTGCAAGATGAAAAAGAAGATAATGGTTACCAGAGAGAGTAGGGGGAGTGTGAAGGGGGTAGGGCATGGAGGCAGATGGGTCGTGGGCACGGGTGTTTTGATGGCCAATAAAAAATACATAAAATACAATACATGCGTATATGTAAAAAAATGAAAACTCTTCAACATTTCAAAAATAAATAAAAATTTGCAAGATGGAGAGATAAGTGGTAACTGACTTAGCACAACCCGGGATAATCCTCTCTAGCAGCAGAGACTATAAGCAAAGCATCTTCCTTCTTTCCAACTTCCCATTTGGGAGGTAGAAACCCAGGCTCCAAGTGGGAAAACTTAGGTTGGGATCTCATTGGTAGCAATGCTGATAGTCACACTTTTTTTTTTTGGCTTATTTTTCAATCTCTGCAAAACTGACTTGCACTGTACAATTTCATCTCGGAAGGGTTCAGAAGATGAAGGTATGAAGGTACCCCTGTAAACAGAATCTGCATGGGGGGTGGCTTGAAAATAGTAGTCGTAGTCAGAAGTGTATATTAAGGAGATGCAGGTCCCCTTGAAAACCCATCAGCAGAAGGCAGTAGTTGTAATCTCTTGACAGAGAGCTGGCGAACAGGTTGTCATACTCCAAACAGGAGATAGGAGCTTTCGTCTCTGGGAAAACTGGCATATGTAAAAAAAAAAAAAAAAAAGATGATACCTTAAGGATTTCTACTTGATTACACTATGAAACCCACTTGGATTTCCCCTAAGTACCTCGCCATCCCACACAAAAAGAGTTTTTAATCCACATTTTAGTACTTCACTCTTTAACATAAACTGCCAGTCAAGTGTCAGTAGACAGGAAAGCATTTCATTTAAAAGACAAGATGAAAATTAAAGCAGGAGAAACTGAGAGGCTATAACATATGAAGCAGAAGGAAAGGGAGGGAAGAAAGTAGTGATGAAATAAGGAGCGTATGGGATTTTTTAAAGAAAGTATAGTCAAAGAATAAGAGTTGTTCAAAATTAAAAAAAAATACAATTGTAGAACCAAATTGGTAATTAAAGCATTTGGATATAAAAGTGAGAAAATCCCCCTGAAAGACAAACAATGAAAAACTTTCACAAATTAAAAGAGAGAAAATGGGAGAGAAAATTCAAAGAAACTCAGAAGGAGGTAGGGGAGGGAAGGTGATGGGGCATTGAGGCTGGAGCTCTGGTGGAGCCCGAGTGAAGCATGTTCACATGTGGAGGGCTGAAATGCACCCCCAAGGTTATGTAGTTATGTGATTGGTGAATCAATAAAATCTGAGAAAAAAGAAATTTTGAGAATCAATTCAAGAAATCTAATATCAACTTGTGGAAGGAAATATAGGAGTGGAAAAGAAAGGATCCCATAAGAGATAGAACATCTAAAAATAAAAATAGGTCAGGTCATATACAAAGGGATGGGAATCAAAATGACACCATAATTCTTTACAAAACTGGAATCTAAACAATGCAGAAAAGAGGGACAGTTTTTTCAAATCTAGAGTTCTACACAGAGCCAAACTATCCATCAAATACAATGGCAGAATATAGATATTTTTAGAGTATGAGATCTCAAAAAAAAATCTCTCTCTCAAGTGTCATTTCTCAGAATGCTCCTGAAGGATGTGCTACATTAAAACAACGAGGATGGCTTGAGATCCAGAAAACAGAAGACCCAACTTCGGAAATTTCCAAACCTGGAACAATTTCAGCAAAATTAAATAAGGGAGTATTGGATCATAATCCAACATTTCTGAGTATGAGTCCTTACGAACATAAATCCACAATTGGATAAATAATTGCACAGAAGAGTATCAATTTATGTAGATACTCTCCACCCTCCATCAAAGGACAGCTTGATTGCGGCCTGCACATAGTGACTTCCTTCAAAGAGTATAGTATGGAAGTGGAAGCAGAGAGTGGCTTTTCACTGGAGAAACCTGACAAACACTACCACAGTCAGGTGATCGAGGACAACATCAACAGCGACAGATCAGGTTGTTCATATGTACCTTTGATATGAGGTGATAAAACAGCACTTTATCTTTGTGATCTTCATCCCCCAAATCCATAACTTCATGAGAAGAGCAACTGAGGATACTCTATGAAACTCAAAACTGTCCAGGTCATCAAAATTAAGGAAAGTCTAAGAAACCATCACAGCCAAGAGGAGTCCAATGATTAAATGCAATGTGTTCTCCTGGGTGGGATTCTGGAACAGGAAACAGGAAAAACTAAGAAAATATGAATAAAATATAGACTTTAGCTAATGATATTAATATTGGTTCATTAATTCTGACAAATGGACTATGATAATGTTAGATGTTAACAATAGGGGAAACTGTTGAGTGCATAAGAACTTAATGTACTGTTTTTGCAACTTTTCTCTAAATCTAGAACTATTCTGATACATATATATATATATATATATATATATACACATACTGATACATATATATATATATACACACACACACTAAAACCCTGTACCAGGAACCAGTTCTTTAAGACCTACCCTCTCCTTTTATTATTCAATGTTTCTTCCTTTTCTGTGAGAGCTAATCTCATTGATGGGAAGTTGGGATAAAACATTGTTCCTCATCATGTGACTTTTTAACATAAAAAGCATTCATTTACATCTAAGAACTTTACTGTTAGTTCACTGTGCAAAACCAACTCCTGAAGTATAGGCCTCCCCAAGATGTTCCAAAAGACCTCTCCAAGATGGGCAGAACAGACCTTCGTAAGATATGTCACTTTGGCATGTGGATTATTTTAAGCTGAGGTCAATCAAGGCCCTGCAGGCTCATGGGACACATTTACCATTACCTTAACTTACAAGAAGAATGA